GGGGAGGTAGTCGCTAGGGGTGAAGAGATTGAAGCAGAACACAAGAGGACACCGAAACTGGAACGTCACTGTTATCTGAACTAACGTCGCTTCCGTCAGAACTAACGTCGTTCCCGTCTGAACTAACGTCGCTCCCGTCTGAGCTTACGGCTCTCGTGTGAACTAACGCTGAACTAACATCGCACTCGTCTGAACAAATGTCGCTCCCCTCTGAGCTAACGTCGCTCTCGTCTGAGCAAATGTCGCTCTCCTCTGAGCTAACATCGCACTTGTCTGAACAAATGTCGCTCTCCTCTGAGCTAACCTGATGACGTCCCGGACCCCACGAGGGTTGGCGATAAAGAGCAAGTTCCAGCTCCCGACTGTGGCCCGCCATAGACCGCCAAATTGTTTGGCTTGGCGCTCATGTATCTGGTGCAGTTGGTCTGTGGGAAAAAGAAAAAGAAAGAACGATAGAACAAAGAGTAATGTCAAACTGACCACTGAGCCAATAATAATAATAATAATAATAATAATAATAATAATAATAATAATAATAATAATAATAGTATGACGATGAAGGTGATGATGATGATGATGATGTTGATGGTGATACTGATGAGGATAATTTTATAGCGCATGTCCTCACTCTGTGGCATGTTTTATAATCTATATTATTACCATGGCAGACGCTAGAACACCCAGAGACATTCTCAATTCTTCTGAGGCATACAGCGTAGGCAGCCGATTAAGCGCCCAAAATACTAACAAACTGACAAGATCTTTCGCTGACTTCAGCCGAGGGCTCATTCCGACCGGTGTGAAGTGAGAAAAATTTGAAGCCACGACCTTTTAGTTGCAAGCTCAACAAGCTAACCAATAGATCACCGTGTATTTTCTTCTCTCTTGATGTTCACACACTGTCCCTTCATGGGACTTACATGCTCGTAGACTGGGCATAATTCTAAGCGTCTCTTCAGTTTGGTGCGTCGATAGTTAAGTTGGTATCATGTCGGACTTTATTGGGCTGAGGACATAGGTTCGGATCCGCAGAGAGCCATCTTTAAGATGTGATTAACGGGAAAAATTTTCAAGGCTCCTTTAAACTCGAATTATCTGCAGGGTGGGGGCGGGGGGCCGCAGGACGTAGAGTGTGGGTGAGCCTAGACTGGGCTGAATACATACATTACCCCCCCCCCCAGGTTTCAAGCATTAAACAAGTGCAACTGATCTAATCTTCTCATCAATCTTTATTAGTAGTTCAGGAGATGAATAGTTTTTGTTCTGAATATGGGCTTCTTTGACCTAATAATAAGGTAAATTAACTCCTACCAAACTGAACATGTTTAATGTGCCCTACGCGGTCATATTATGACATAATGCAGTCGCGAATGCCGTAAAACACTTACAAAAACGCAAATAAATATATCAGACTCACGATTGTTCCTTAGTGTTCTCAGTGTATTCCCCACCGTGGACAAGCCAGTGAGGCCCGGGATAGAAGAGAAAGGCTTAAGGTCTGAGTCTGATTGTGCGGGATGCGAATCTCCCTTAGGTGAAGAGCTAGCATGACTTGCTGTCGTCCTCCAAAACTGGCTGGTGAGTGTCCTTGAAAGGGGAGACTGCCTGGACAGGATCTTGCACAGGCTGAGCATGGCCATCTGGTTCTGTGGCTTGAGTTATGCGCCCTGGGAAGTTAACATTACTTAGTACAGTATGAATACATGTATTGGAACGGCTTGAGTAGATACACAGAAGCCATTGGCAGCCAGACGGGCATGCCTACAGGCTAACAGACAGACAGACAGGCGGACAGGGTGATACCACAATTAGAAATGAAAAAAATACGTTTAAGGCTAAGGTTATTTTTTGTAGAGAAGACTTTTTTTAAAATCATGCAATGGCTGTAAAGATTCTAATTGAAACAGTCCAGTCATGTAGATCTAGTAAGATGTGACTGAAGACGGATATAAAACTACCTTGAAAGTGTTTCATTTCTACACTTTGATGAATCACACTAAACACGCTTTTAAATGGCAACAAAAAACTATTGCTTAACTTTAAACAAAGAGATAACGTGATAACAGCAGTGGGCATGCTGCAGCTAAACTGTAAATCATCGTTGATGCTACAAGTTATAATTACAATTAATTATTGATTACGATCAGTGCAATCAAAGCACATGACTACTGTTATGCATTCAGCAGTAAGAACAGTGGCGGTGGGTGGACCATAATTTGGGTGGGGGCTTAGGTGCTTTCACTTCTTTACCACCAAATAGCAAGCAATAAGAACAAAAAGAGTGGTGATTTTTCCATACTCACGGCGAGCCACGGCATTTTGAGAACCATTCAAACGAGAGAAGTCACATTTGACGTCTTCCTTCTTTTTGTTCCACGTTAAATTCTTCTGGATGCTGGGGACGAAACCGCTTCACCTCCGAATTTCTCTAATTAATTTTCATCTGATGAAGAAGTTGCCTCAAAAGTGGTTTGATGTAATTAATAACTGTTAAATCTCAGCGGCACACACGCAAACATGTATACACAGCACTCCACGAGCTGGATTAGGCTGTGTAGTTGAGGAAAGTAGACAGCACCTAACAAAGGTCCAATGGGAGCGTAGGTAACTGTGTCGCAGGGGGAAAGTGTGTCGTAAACTTTTACCCCATTGTCAGGGCTACGAAAGCGTGAGCCCTCTATGCAGTGTTATTTTTTTCAAGTCTTTTACCTTTTTACAAGAAGAGTTTCATTAACGAGGGTCCCTGGGAACCGGTTCATCTTTGTTGAACCCTAAAGACATTTGATTGGCTGTTAGGTTACTTTAGTTGTAAGCGGTGGCAACAGGGATTGGATAAACGAGCAAGCCGCCAAGTTGATCACTCTGTGTTCATTGCATGCGGTCATAACGGTTTCAACTGCTTATTTCGTTATTTTCATTTGCTTTGGGATAGAGTTGGGGGGTGGAGACGGGGGCTCAAGCCTGTGAACCCTTCACTACCCACCTCCACTGCGTAAGAAGGCTCTTGCGAGTTTCATATTAGGTCAGTGTCTGTCTGATCTTGCGAAGCTTACATTGTTGACATTGAGCTCACTCTAAAGATAATCTTTTTTTTAACTCCTGGAAGGTCCAGAGCAGATAGCACGTGTGACACCACAATACTAATACTATAAATACAACGTTTTCCTGTTTCGTTCTTGAGTAGAACTGCGTTCTGTCGTATCCTTTGTTGTAGGTTATACAAAATGACCGAACTATTTATAAATACAGACTAATGGGAGGAAAAAATCAGGCCACATAAAAATATTCAAAAATGTAATTTCCACGGACATGTACATATGCCTACACAGAAGCAGGCATGTAGACCACAAGAAATTTATTCTTCGGAACTTATTCCCATCCCATAGCAAATTATGCCTGGTGAATCTTTATCACGCTGGAACTTTTTATAGTTAACATGGTCGCATTTAACAGAAATTGGGAGATAATTTCCATGAAGAGACATTTCACAAAGAAAGATTTAAGCTTACCTACCCACTCTGCTTTTCTGTCAATAACAGCAACCTGAAGAGGAACCAGCAAAACACATTTCCTCGTGCTGATGTAAACTCTTTCGTCTGTCTGTCTGTCTGGCAGTTTATCTGCCTCTTGTGCCGCTGTCTGTCTGTTACTCTCTCTCTCTCTCTCTCTGCCTGTATTTCAGCTCCACTTTTAACTCGTTGTCATCACGCATGTTCAACTGAAGCAGAGGCGTCAAAACAAAAGAAACACACAGCTAAATTTTAATCTGAACGTGTGCATTTAACATACTAAGTCAAAACACGACCGCGGCAACCTTGGCACACTTCCGTAGAACACACACACACACACACGTATAGGCCTACATGTTATACTGCTGTAATCTATACGTTCGTATTGGCAATATGCTATGAGAGAGTTTCTGAACCCCTAGGCAGTACTGTAGTAGGCAGTTATCCATGCTCGGAATCTTGGAATAGATATCGGGTAACACAGAAAACTATTGTTGTAGGTCACAGTTATTCGATCTCCAGATAGCATCAAGGGTGCTATTTATCAACTACGAAATGCCTCACACATTAACACGCGAAATAACCAAATATATACCGCAGGACACCTAGATTCTAACTCACTTTATATTTAAACGTGAACAACGACATTTAAGCCGACACAGGGGCGCATCTAACACAATATACAATACAACGACATAGAAAACTTACATGTATGATGTGGGCAGACCTAACACAGGATGTGTAGGAAGTAAAATAGTCCGACCTTGTTGCGCGTCACTGAATTTGAATAAAACGGGGTAATGGACCTGGACCTTCCTTTCATAACCATGAACTATTTCACAAACAGCTTGTTTTGGAATCCCTCTTCAACACCCCCCCCTCCCCGCTCTTTCTTTCTT